CTGGGGCGAGGGGCTGGGCGAGAATGCGGCGGCCGCGGCACAACCGCTGAAATGCTGTATCCCTCCTGTTTGGGCGGGGGGTGCGAGCGCAGATGGCATCGGAGCTGCTCGTGCGAGGGGTGCTGCATGTGGCGCACTTCGCACGTGCGTGATGGTGGTGTGGAACTGGCATAGGTGCGATGTAGTATGTCGCATGCATCGCCCAGCGTGCCGCGGCCGAGCTAGATGCCTCACTGCCTCTGTGCAAGTCTGGAAGATACTGCCGCAGTCGATGCACGCGCTGCTGGGCGTGATAGCGTAGAACCGACGTTGCTCCTCATTTCCCGTTTGTTGAGAGCTGGCGCGCGCGTGCTACCAATGCGGCGCGCGCGGACAACCTGACCGCACTTCGGACCTCCCGAGTCGATAGGGATCGACCCCGCGAAGGAATCGGCCCCACTTCCCCACGACACATCTCCATCCGGGGCACTCGGTGCCACAGGTGCTAGTGCCTCAGGTGGGCGCCTTTTTTTCTCCGCCGCGGCAGTGGCGCTGCGCAGGCACCCGGGGTCAGATGCGACGAAGAAGCGTCTCGCGCACTCGTTCCGCAAACGTTCCACGATAGACCCGCTCCGCGACAACGCGACGCTCTCGCCTTCAGCGCAAGTGCGCACGACCTCGAAATCTCGTCGCAGTTGTCTAGCCCGAGGGTGGATGGTCGCGCCCGCGCCCGCCGCGTCTGGCAGAACAATAACGGACAGGAGGTGGGCGCGGATGCAAGGTTGACGCAGCGCCGCCCGCCGTGCACGAACCCTCTGCGCAGCAACTTCCTGCGCAAATGGGCCATCCTCCAAAATCGGCGCGCGCCCGTTGTCGAAAGCGCCCGAACATGATCTCAAAGGGCGCCCGTGCCTCCCCATTGTCGACATGAGCTTCTTCGCCAGGGGCCCGCAGAGCTGCTGTCTCAGGCTTCGTCCAGCAGGGCGCGATCCAGCTCGACGTGCCAGCGACGACGCCAGAGACGCGAACGTGGGCCAATTGGCCCACGGCGGCGCGGCCGAGTATCAGAAGCCCTTCGCCGTCGCCCGCCCGCGATTGATTGCCTGCTGTCGGGCCCGAGCTCCATTCGCATTGCCATTCGCCGCGTTGGTCCAGCTCCCCAAGTGCACGGGGTGGCAGCCCCCTCTGCGCCCGCTCGCAGACAGTTCGGCGGAAGTGGTTCGCGTGCGTTGACGGCCGGAGAGAGAGGGGCCGCGTCTTGCATGGCTCGTTTCCAGCAGTCGCATCTACCCGCGAGCGCCTGGTCAAGGCCAAAATCACTGGACTGCGAAAGACGAGCCGCATCTTTCGCCGACGCCCCCGGGCGCGGCGGAAGCTGACGCGTGACTGCGCCGCCCGTGAAGACGCCGAGGCTCGCGTCGGTCGGGGCGAATTTATCAGACTGACTCATCGTGTCCCTCTTGGCGGCCGTGAGGTCGCGGCGCCGCTGGGCTGACAGCCGGGTCGCAAAGTTGTCGTCGTCGTGCCCCGCCTTCTCCGAGGCCCCTGGCCAGGTGCGAACTCCTTCCTCGAGCCGAGCCTTCCGCTCGCAACCGGAAGCGCTGGTTACGTCGTCGCTCTTGCGCGGCGTCGAGTGGGCCCCCGCCCGCGCCGCGATGCGAGTCGCGATCGCTGGGTGCTTGCGACGCAGGCCTCTCGCCGCGAAAGCCCGCGAGGGCGGCCGCGGGGGCCCGCCCCGAGGTCGGTCCCCTCGGTGGTGGGCGCGCCACCAGCAACAAAGAACACGCATGAGCCGTCGCCCTGCTGGACTACGCTTCCTACTCTTTTTGTCTGGCGGGCCTGCAGCGGGGCCGCCCGCGGCCCACTTGCGCGGAGACGAAGTTGGGATGGGCGACGATAAGGTTCATCGCGCTTCTCCAGAAGTCGCAGCTGCTGCTTGGCAAACGCGTCGGGGGCGCGGGGTTCTGCCTCGTGGATTGCCTCTGGGCCCAAGATTAGCTTGATTCCCAGGGCGTGGCCAGCTCAGCGCTCGCTGACCGATTTTGGCACGTCTTAGGGCTCTGCGCGCCATCGCAAAAATTCGCCCCTGCCTGCTTGAGCATCTCCGCTGGCTGGTCGTAGTTGTCACGGGCCCCGTGCTCGTCGGCGTGTTCAATTTGGCGCAGCCGATCTTCGGGCAAGCCCCGGCGTAGTGGGACTGGTACTTCAGCCCTGCAGATTCCCCCTGCGACGCGCTCTTCGACCAACAATCAACCCGCTCCGTGGCCGTCGGGGAGCAAGACGGCGAGCTCGATCGTTGCGGTGCTTGGCCGAGGTGCCCGTGCACGCCGAAGAACGCGCCGACCTGCGCGCCGCCGTCATGCCTCGCCTGTGCCAGGCCTCGTGGAGCTCGGCCTCGACGAACTCCTTGCGCGCGCGCGCTCGCGCGCTCGCTTGAGGGAGATGAGGGCCTTGCTGTAACCCCTGATCGCGTCTCCGAGCTGGCGCAACTCCACCTATGCAGAGGCCGATGATGGACTAGCGACCAGTGTCGAGGGGTGGTCGCTCGTGCTGCTCGTGCCCCCCCGCCCCTCGCCATGGCCCCCTGACGCCCGTGCGCCGTCGAAGCCCTGCTGCGCGCTGCGCCTCCCGTTTCAGACCGTTTGGCGCAGCGGGAGCGACGGCGGGGAGGGGCTGGGAGGGGCCGTTGCCGCGCTCGCTCACGCCTGCCGCGTCGCTGGGCAAGCCCTCTTTGAGGGCGTCGGGGTGGCAGCCGAAGCGCGCGTGCCACTGCTCCCTCCATCGCGACCCCCCGACCCCCGTGCGCCGCCTACTCTGCCGCGCGCTGCGCCTCCCGCCCCGGACTGTTGGAGCGGGGCGACGGTGGGGAGGGGCTGCGAGGGGCAGTGGCCGCGCTCACCTAGGCCTCCGACGCCGCTGGACATGCGCTCTGCGACGTAGCCGTAGCGCGCAGGTGCGCGGGCGCCTGCTCCTTCAAGGCAAACAAGATATGTTGTTTTAAACATTTAAATTCTATTGTTCGGTTTAAAACATGCATCTTCTATGCTGTTTGCTTGCTTTTCCTTTTGCCGGGGGGAAGTGGCGCAAGGCCACCTCGCGGACGGCGGCGATCACCAGCGCGTCGTGGCCCGTGACGGCCGAGCGGCTCGACGGGATCTCGAGGGAGGGCTTCAGCTCGAGCATCTTCTCATGCAGGTCCCGGGGAAAAAAAACTCCCCCTTCACCCCTGCAGCGCGGCCCCCGCAAATTTCAGCCGATCCGAGCCAGCGCCGGTGGGGTGGCAGCTGCGAGGTCGGAGGGGTGATGAGGAGCTTGCACGCGGTGGGGACGTGGTCCAGGGCCGCCATCATCGAGCGGGCGGCCCCCGCCGTGCGCCTCCATGCGCGGGACCATTGTACGAGGGCCAACGCCGACTCGGGGATCGCAGTGAAGTCGATCTGCGAGGAGCCGTGCATGCCGAAGCAGGTGTCCCCCGCGGGCGCGTATGTATTCACCGCCACTATTTAGGTAGTGGGGAGCAAAAAATACAACAGTCTCCCCACGAACGTCTCGACCTCAGAGCCAAAGTCGCCAGCCACTTCGTCGTCCTCGTTGCACTTACGCAGCCCTGGGTTCAGGCCAATGAGGATCACAGGGGGTGTATCTGTGCGGCGCCAAAAGCAACTGCTCGCTGCTCGCTCGCCCATCGGGTCAACTCAACTCCCGTATACTTGCATGTTTCGGTGCCTCCCGCAGTCGTTGGAAGTGGTTGGTCGTAACGAGCAGAAGTTGCCAACAAGAGAGGGCTCGACGCCACGGGCACAATGCCTCTTCGACCACGGAGAAAAGCAGTGGCTGGCACAATGCGTCTAATATCCTTGGCGCCGGAGAACTGTTTGCTCAACAGCACTGCGCGTCTACAGAATTTCGTCACCGTACTAGGCGATGCCCGCCCAACTGGAACTGATCATGATCAGCACTCTTAGCTGCGTGGTGCGCTTCAGTTGCCCACGCCGTGACCCCATTGCCTGGGAGTCCCACGGTCGCGACGCCCCGCAGGGCACTCGATACCTCATCCACGCGGTACGTCCTGCTCAACGACTGCGGGTTCCATGCGCTGATGAAGCTCCACGTCGCCTCTGTCACAAAGCCCAGCGCCGCGCACAGCGCCAGCACAGTCGAGAGGCACGCTCGTCTGCCCCCGAAAGCGGGGGGGCACATTGGACCTCATGGCTCGCCAGCGGCCGCGCCTGCCCCCATTGCTGCCCGAGGCCCTCTCGGGAGAGGTTCCGATGGATGGGGGGGGGGGCCTGCGCGGGGTGGGGCCGGAGGAGGAGGAGGAGGAGGAGGAGGAGGAGGAGGAGGGGGAAGATGAGGAGGAGGAGGAGGAGGAGGAGGAGGAGGAGGAGGACTGGCACTAACGAGATGAGCACGGACAAACTCGGGCTTGTGCAAGGCCGACAGCGGCCGCTTTTGGGCAGGCGACTTGTTCCCCCAAGCGGAAAACATCCATGACATCACCGACAACGAGTCCTGTTCGAAACGGACAGGAGCTGCTGCCGGTCATTGTCCACGTTCTTTCCGCACCCACTTCGTTCGTGCCGAGGGGAGGCAAGCGCACAACAGGACCATCGGAAGATGACCAGAGGACAGCGACTTAAAGACAACGGCGACTCAAAATCGATCCCCAGTCCCCTCGCGGGGCCCAAGCGCACACATCCTTGGAACTGCGACCAACCGTGGCGACGAAGGCCCCACCCCCCCGAAACCCAACTACCGTTACGTCGGGCATGTCCCCCTACAGGCGGATTTTGGACGGACATTTTTTGTTCAAAAAAAAAACGCCCCAACATATTCAAACATAGTAAAAGATGATCGAAACATAATCCCCTGACTATTTCTTGCTATTTTCGAATATTCATCCTGTAGAGGGACAAGCCCGAATGAAAAACTACCGGTGTCTCGACTCGCCCTCCTCTGAAGCAGGCGGCCCGGGGTGTCAGAGGAAACCTCCGTCGGGCTTGGCGCTGGCGGGCTGGAGATCACGCCCGAAAGGGGCCTCCTGCTGGTCCTCGGGGAGGCCGCTCGCGCGTCCTCCTCCTCCTCCTCCTCCTCCTCCTCCTCGCCTCCTCCTCCGCCTCCTCCTCCTCCTCCTCCGCCTCCTCCTCCTCCTCCTCCTCCTCCGCCTCCTCCTCCTCCTCCTCCTCCCCTCCTCCTCCTCCTCCTCCCTCCTCCTCCTCCTCCTCCCCTCTTCTCCTCCTTCCTCCTCCTCCTCCTCCTCCTCCTCCTCCTCCTCCTCCTCCTCCTCCCCCCCTTCCTCTTCCTCCTCTTCCTCCTCCTCCTCCTCCTCTTCCGAGGGTGCCCCCAGACGTCCTCCGACGTAGTGAACAACTCGATGCCTAGGCCTTTCGTCGCTGTCGGTCTCCGGGGGACGCGTGCCCTTGAACAACGACTCGGGATGCCAAGCCGACCCACGAGGAAAGGCCGGGACTTCCAGGGGCCCCGCCTTTGAAAAACATGGTGCGTCGGAGATCTGGGGCCTCAGCACCCCCCCGGCAGAGCTCAACTGACCAGGCCAACATCGTGGTTGGCAACCTGCCGACGGACCTCCTCCTGCTCCTCCTCCTTTTCGCTCTTCTCGACCTCCTCCTCCTCCTCCTCCTGCTCCTCGTTTTCCTCCTCCTCCTCCTCCTCCTCCTCCTCCTGCTCCTCGTTTTCCTGTTCCTCGACCTTCTTCTTCCCCTCCTCCCCCTCCTTTCGTTCTCCTCGACCTCTTTCTCGTTTTCCTCGACCTGTTTCTCGTGCTCCGAAGCCCCGACCCTCCAGGATCGAGGATGGGATCGGGCTTGTCCGGTCGGTTCTCAGGCGTTTCAAGCCTTTGCTGAGATCTCTGGAGGCATCTGGGAGCCTCCAGCGGTGGACCGCCTGCTAAGATCTGGGGCGGAGGCAGATCTCACAACTCGTGCCTCCTGCTTCTCCTCCTTGTCGCTTTCCTCGCCCTCATCGTGAAGCGCATGGGAACTCCGTTCCCGACGGACCCTCCGTCGCCTGGCCCTTCCCGCAAGCCTAAGCGCAGGCGTCTGCACCGAATATGCCGTTGGCATTACCACCAGGGGCCACTCAGTCGCCTCCTTTCCCTCCCCCTCCTCCTCTTCCTCTTCCTCCTCCTCCTCCACCTCCTCCACCTCCCCATCATGCAGTTTTCGTCGAAGCTTCGTTTATGGTACTGCAAGGCGTGCGGATGCTACGCCTCTGTCGTTCTCCGCGAACTGGGGAAGATGTGCACCGACAGGGTCACTCCCCACAGGGCAGAGTATTTGAGCCGCATCTCGCACGGCCTCGAGCCCAAGGTGCTGAGTGCCGCCGAGAAGCTCAAGAGAGGCAGAGTTTAGTGCAGTACGTATGTGTCTCCCTGTGCATCACACGTGGGCGGGCATCAGTTGACATTGTCACATGGTCATACTCATACTCATACGCCACCTCCCCATCATCAACGTGTTCATCTTCCTCTCCTTCTTCGTCCTCCTTCACTCACAAAGACCAATCGATGCATATCCGCTAAACGAAATCAACGCGTGAACTAGTGTCGGAAATGCGCAGAGGGGGAATGTGCATATACCCAGCACGAGCTGAATTGCCAGCATGGCAGGTCCTTCAGCAGGAAGCAAGCAAACTGCGATATGAAGAGAAGCTACACGTGCGATGCTCCAGAACATTGTGCATTGTTTTGTGCTGTATTGAGGGCACAACGCAATGCGACACAACATGTTGCGTCGCATGTGTGCTTGTTGGCGTTGTACTGGTCTGCACTGCATTGCGCTGCAACATACATCGCAACGCATTGCAAACACAATGCAACGCGACGCAATTCTTGCTCACAAAAGGTAGCCGGCATGCATTTGTATAAAGCGATAATACGTCATGCAGCCCAGCTTATCGCAAGCCAACGCAATGCAAGGCAATGCGGCGCAATGCAAACACAATGCAACGCGATGAAAAACAACGACGCGCAAACCACGACACCGCAACCAACAAAGCTTTGCAAACGCAGTGCGCGCCTACATGATGCAATGCACAGCCATGCTGCAGTGTGACACAACGAACACCACTGCAATTCTAAGCAGCGTAACGCAATGCAACTCGAAACACGTACCATATGCAATGTCGAGAAATCAATGGTGCAACACCATGCGATCGAGCATTGCAACCAGCGCAGAGCAACGCAACATCATGCAGCAGCAGTGAATAAGAAATAATGCACTTCTTGATCAAAAAAAAAGGTCACCACGGTTCACAACGCAACGCAATGCACATGATCACACTCGCAGAACAAGACACACCAATGACATCCAATGCGGAACAAACTGATACAGAACAATGCAGAAGGGCCTCAGCGCAAAGTCATGCAAATCCGCGCAATGAAGCACAGTGCGCATGCAAAGCGCAGCAATGGGATGCGATGCAGCGAAAAAATAAGCACAACGAGCGGCAAAGCAACGCCATGTAACTCAATGCAGTGTACTGCGAAGCAGAAGGACGCAGCCCAATGCAACGTGCTTCAGGGTGCCGCCACGCAACGCTACGCGAAGACATGCAGCGCAATGCGACTGCAACTTACGAGGCCAGGACACCCACAGGTTCGCCCATCTGCGCAGCGGCCCCGTCAGGCCTCTTCCTGCGCGCCTGGACCCACTGCCTCGGCTCCCTGGCGGCCGCCGCACGCGTGGCCCCCCTCGCCCTCCCTCTCCCGGCGATGGCCCCCTGTGACCAGGGCCCCGATGTCCACGCAGGTCGGGGAGACGTAAGACCTGGGTGCAAGGGACTCGGAGATCCCCGACGAGGTCGTCAAAAAAATGACGAGGCCGAGCCTGCATTTTGACGGGGCCTCCCGCTGCAGACATCCCACGAAACTCCTCCTCGTCAAAATCCGAGGCGTGGTCGTCAAAAAACGATGGCGAACCCGAGTCCTGGCAAACCCGGGTCTTACGCTCCCCCGAGCAGGGTGTGCACACTGGAGGCTCGCTTTCGTGCCGCCACAGATGACGACGGCCATCCTTAGCACTCGCCGCTGCCCCGTGTCTGGGCCGGTACCCCTGGGCTCCGCAGGGCCACTCGTGGCGCTGGTGGTGGCGCTGACGTCCAATGCGATGAGCTCTTGAAGGCCGCATTGATCCCTGGCTTTACGTCGGGCCTGTCCCCCTACAGGGGGCTTTTGGGCGAAAAATTAAGAATACCCCAAAATGCCCCCCCCAAATGCAAAAAAATAGCAAAAAACATCGTCCCCAGACTATTTTTCGACTATTTTTGAACATTCTTCGTGTAGGGGACAGGCCCGACTTAACCCTGGCTGCTCCTTCCAATCTCTGGCTGCTCTGTCGGGCCCAGCCGGAATCGGCCGCGCGGGCCACATCAGAACTCGTCGCGCGGGCGGCGCTTGCGGATATCCAACCCCTTGGTCTCCACCACGGTCTGCATCAGCGAGCCCGCGTCTTCCAGCACGGCGTTGATCCCCCAGCCCGCGAGCTCTTGAAGGCTGCGTTGATCCCTGGCTGCTCCCTCCAATCTCTGGCTGCTCCTTCCACGCCAGCACGCTGGCGCTGACCCGGCTGTGGTGGCGAAGCAGGCGCGCGAGCTCCTGCAAGCGCTGCCCGGCTCCAGCCGCGCCCCGCGGCAGCGGCGGCAGCTCGGTGTGATGGGCCCACTTTCCACCACCGCTACCACACGCAGGAGAGGGAGGAGGAGGAGGAGGAGGAGGAGGAGGAGGAGGAGGAGGAGGAGGAGGAGGTGGAGGAGCAGGAAGACCTCCTCATCCTCCCTTCTCCCCCATCCTACATACGGTAGTGGTGGTGGAAGACACAACCCTCTCGGCCGGGCCCGCGGCCAGGCCCTGCCGCGGGTCCGGCGCCTTGCCCTGCACCCTGGCGCACTGCGGCCGAGCTGCGCGCTCGCGACGGCGACGCACGGGCCGCACCTGCTCTCCATCGCCAGCTTTTTCTCGACGAGCGCCATTTCTGGGCAGATCGGGATACTGACCCGGGAGAGTACGTCTTCACGGTGAAGGAAGTCAACAGCGTCGTGTCGACAGCGTAGTGTCAACAGCGTCGGAGATACCTTGCTGACCCGGGTCAATCCAGACCCAGGCCAGTCAGGCCTTGCAGGATTCTGCAAGATCCTGCATGATCCTGTAGAGTCCTGCGCCCAGGCCCTGGTCAGAGCGCCACTGGCCCCGCAGGATCCTGCAAGATCCGGCGCTCTGACTGACCCCCGTCTGCATTTACCCCCGTCCCTCGAGCCCCGAAGGGAGCGGGTCCTGAGAGGGACCCGAACGGGTCCTGGATCCAGGGGCCGCTGCCCGAGGCCATGCCCTTCGCCCCGAGACGTCCTCTGGCAGTCCTGGGGCCCGTGGAGGGCCCCAGGGGGCCAAGCAGATCTGCGAAAACCTTGCAGAACCGTTTCCCTCGGGACCCGAATGCCTCGTGCTGGCTGTCAGGCGAGGAGGAGGAGGAGGAGGAGGAGGAGGAGGAGGAGGAGGAGGAGGAGGAGGAGGAGGAGGAGGAGCGACCCGCCCTTCGACGCTGCGGGGTGGTCACGCGCGCGGGCAGCCCTGCCTCGGCACTCTGGCGTCGCAGCCGCTGGCGCCCGAGCCTGGCCAGGCGCGCGTCGAGAGGGAGCTGGCGATGGAGGGCAGGAGCGAAGCATTGCAACAAAAACCTGTTGCAATCCTTCGTTTTGCAATGCAGTTTTTTTTTTGCAATCCAGTTTTTTTTTTTTGCAATCCATTGTTTTTTTTGGCAATCCTTCGTTCAAGGTTTTTTTGCAAGCCTGCGCTTCCCTGCCACCTCCGTGTCCTCAGGGCTCGCGCTGAAGCCCCCGCCGAGGGCCCACGGGAGAGGGGCGGCGTCTGCGGGCGCGCCGAAGGCCGCGGGTCGCTCCACGCTGCGGACCGGGGGGCCCTCCGAGCGCCTCGCGCAGCAGGGCCCGATGACGACGCTCCCTGCGCCTCCGACTAGGAAGTCGCTGACGGGGGGAGTCAACGGCGGGGCAGAGACGTGCCATTTCTGGCACCTTTGAGGCCCGCGGCTGCCGCGTGGGGGCCGCTGCGGGCCCCGAGGCGATAGCCTTAAGTCGGGCGTGTCCCCCTACAGGGGGATTTTCGACGAAAAATTAAGATTACAAAGAAAAATCTCCCAAATGGTCAAACAATATTCAAAAAATACTCCCCAGACAATTTTTTTACTATTTTTGAAGATTCCCCCCTGTAGAGGGACGGGCCCGACTTAACGATAGCCATGCCCGCGCCCGGGCCGCCACCTGCGGCGCGTGCCAGTAAGGATGAGGGCCATCTTGCTGGGACGACTCCGCGGAGTCGGCCTTGCTCAGCGAACGTCCTTGCCCCACTCACGACCATCCACTAAGTCGCGAGCCCCAGGGCGCTCCCATGGTCTGACCGCGTTCGCATTCACTGTCGTTTGACCCCGACCCTTGATAGATCCCCCCTCATACCCTATTTTTTGGTCCCGCCCCGATGGTATAATCTACTTGTAATATATCATGCATCTGCCACTGTGCATCTGGGCACGGAGTGCCTAATCCCCTGAGCCTCAGTCCTCAATCCTGCAGTTTTTTTGGGGGGCCCGGACCCCAAATTCTCAAATTCGCCGGGGCTTGTCGCGGTTCCCCTGGGGTTCCAGGCATCTTGTCGCATGACTTTTTCGGGCCCAAGAGGGCCCCAAGATGGCCCCAAGACAAGTCAAGAGGGCCTCAACCAGCCCCCGAGACGGCCCAAGAGGGCCACGAGACGCCCAAAGGTCGTCTCAAGACGCCCAAGATGGCCTCAAGATGCCCCATAAGGCCTCCAAGACGCCCCAAGAGGGCTCCGAGAGGCTTCAAGAGGCACAAATCATTGATTTCATTAGGTTTTTGGCAGATTTTGGCGTTCTCGCCTTTTCGGCTTTCCGACGCTCCACGATGGCCCAAGTGGCCCCCAAGTCCACCCCAAAACTGCACAAGAGGCCTCCAAGACGGCCCCAAGACGGCCTAAGACCACCCCAAGACGGCCCAAGAGGCGTCCAAGACGGCCCAAGAGGGCTCCAAGACGGCCACAAAAGGGGCCCACGAGAGGGAATGCGAACCGAAAATCCGAATCTTCCGCCCCAAGGGTCCCCCAGGGCCCAAGAGGCGCCTAGGAAGTCCCCAGAGGCCCCCCAGAGGCCCCCAAGGGGCCCCAAGAGGCTCCCAAGAGGTCCAAGAGAGGCCCCAAGAGGCTCCCAAGAGGCTCCCAAGCGGTCCGCAAGCGGTCCCCAAGAGCCATCTAACCTGCCTCCAAGGAGGCCCTCGAGAGGCCTCCAACAAGATCCCAACGAACATCCAATAGGCTTCATACCCACAACCCAGGCACGGTGGCGGGATAGGCCGAAGGCCATTCGATTTTCGGATCAGCGCGAGATCGCAACCAACGTGCTCATAACCGCTCCGCCTGCTCTGCCTGGGCGTCGGCGGCATCCTTGTCCCTGCTCTGGATGGCCGTGATGGCCGCCTCCAGCTGCGATGCACGGCACCGCCCCAAGGAACACCCTCGAGCGCGGGCTCGGGCGCTACCTTGGCCAGGTCTGCCTCGCTGGCCTCTGGCTCCTGTCTATGGAGCTACCTGGCCTGCACAGTTTCCATCTTCGCCCCGATGTCCTGCTGGGCGTCCGCCGCTCTTCCCCGAATGCGAGCGGCTTTCCTCTTCTCGCAGCGGTCGCACAGGCCTTCGGCGTGGATCCGGTTCCGCTCCCCGCTGGCCTGCGCGACACACTTTGACAGCGCGTGTGCCTTCTGGCTCTTGGGGGGTGGGCTTCCTCGTGGGTGGACTCCCCTCTGCAGCTCGTTCGCCGCGTCGGAGAAACGGGAGACGTGCCCCCATCCTCGGTCTGCGGGCGTGGGCCGCGCACCCTGCCGCGCAGCCTGGCAGGTCCTCGCCTTGCCCCCCTCGCGAGCACCCATCTGCGCTGCCTCTGCGTCGGGTTCCTGGGGCCGCCCACCACGGCGTCGGCACGGTGGCCCGCGGCCAATCCTTTTCGCTCGGCGCGCGTAGCGGCGCGTCTTGCCTCCCAGCACCCAGTGGCGCCGCAGGAGGAGGAGAAACGTCCGTAGGGGGACCTGCTGGCAGGCCGATCCCTTGCTCGGCACGCCTGCTGTGGTGGAGGCAGGGGGGATCGAGGAGGAGGGGGAGGAAGCGAAGATGGCAGACGGTGTGCTCTCCCCACAGGGGGGCGAGCACAACCAAGCCCAAACCCAGACACTTTTTTGGATCCGCGGGTCGAGAGCGCACCTCTTCCGGTCGAAGCTAAGCGGGCCGCGCGAAGCTTGAATTAGAAAGCCCAAACCCAGACACGAACTGCAGGGAAGGGTGGGTGGCGAAGTGCGAAGAACGCCCGGCTGCGAGCTTTGCTGCCCCCCCCCAGGTCCTGAGCCGCCGAGACTCCACTCGAGCATGAGCTCCTCCTGTGGGCCTCGGGCGCGAGTGGCGCGGAGCAGAGGGGGAGCACCTCCTCAGCCGCTCTCGCGCTCGCACGCGTCTCTGTCCTTTCCCGCCGCCCGTCCCCCGCCTTCCTCCTCACGCCTGATCTGATGCTACCTCTACATGCACTCTCCTTGCCTCCATGCTCCTCATCATCCCCTCTCTGCGCCCCCTTCCCTCCCCCTTTCCCAACCCTCATGCTGACACCATGTCCAGTCTCCCTCCTCTTCGTGCTCCTCGCCCCTGCCCTGATCTTGGTACTCTCTCTCTTCCTCCCGTCCCCTTCCTCCGTCTGCGGGCTTCGGGAGCAAAACTCTCGCACTGACCCTCGTGGCTGCGCAGAGGACCTCCCTCCCGTCGCCGAGCAGCCGAGCGAGAAAGACCACCTCTGCCAGGGGTCCGTGGCTTCTTGCGACACTTCTGCGAGAACGACCACCCGATGCTCCATTTTTTTTTGTTTGTTTTGAAACATCCTTCTGTGTTACATCCTTCTGTGCTTTTCGCGCTCTTCAGTCTTCGAGGGCCCCAAGGGGGACCTGCTGGGAGCCCCAGGCCCTAGGTCGGCCCAGAACAGCCCCAAAAGAGCACCGAGCACCACGCTGGCCCACGAAGGACCCTGGAGAAGCCCAAGATGCCTCAAGAAGGCTCCTAGACGACCCAATACGGCAATACGGTTCCAAGACGGCCCCCAGGGATCTCCAGACGGCTGAGAGAACCCCAAGACGGCTCACCAGAGCCTCGAGACGGTCCAAGTAGGCTCCGATGGACATTCAAGACTGCCCCACAGGAGGCCCATGCAGCCCCAAGACGGTCCTAATAGTCTCCATGACATATGTGACGACCTTCTGGGCAGTGCTCTAGGGGTCACCTCACTGAGTGCTTCGCTTTCACGTGGTGGTTTTGCCGCATACATCTGAATAACCCTTGTTGGGCTGGAGTAAGTCGTCAACCACATGATCCTTCTGTCTGTCATCCTCCCCCCTCCTTTGCTTTGAACAGACGTTGTGCTGCCATGCCGCCGGTCGTGTCCGTGCCCGTGGTACCCCAGCGGGTGCCACGGATTGTGCGAAGCAGCCAAAAGAATGGCAGACGGGATCGGACAGCAGAGGACGAACAAGAGGGACGAGGGAGGAACAAGCGGGAAGATCCCTCTCTTCGCCCATCCATCATCTCCCCTATCCCCCCTCGTGCCCGTCTGATCCCTTGCGAGCCTTCTGCTCGCGCGTCTCCCCGACGAAGAGCCTTCCAAAACGACAACCTGCGTCGATTGTCGTGTCCACGACGGCCTCCTCGCGGGGGGTGCGCAGGGCAGGGGAGGAAGAAGAAGACGAGGACGATGAGGAAGAGGACGGGTGGAGGAGGAAGGCAGCGGGAGCGAGTGAACGAGGAAAAGGCGGCTTGGGGGGTAAGGGCTCTTGCCTTGCTCCATGCATATGGCTTGCTTGAGCCCAAGTCTCATTCGCGCCTCCCTCGCTCTTTCAATCCACTTCAGCGCTGCAGGGGCAGCCACGTTTAAAACACATTGTCAATACCTGGCGCCGACGCGAACCATCCTGTAAACCATCGCGAACCCAGAACACTTGGTTTTTGTACTCTCGGTGTGTTGCATTGTTTCCCCTGGGGCTGTAGGCGACCCGAGGAGGATGAGGAGGAGGAAGAGGAGGAGGAGGAGGAGAAGGAGGAGGAGGTGGAGGAAATGGAGGAGATGGAGGAGATGGAGGAGGAGGAGGAGGCGGAGGAGGAGGAGGGAGGAGGAGGAGGAGGAGGAGGAGGAGGAGGAGGGAGGAGGAGGAGGAGGAGGAGGAGGAGGAGGAGGGAGGAGGGGGAGGAGGAGGGGGAGCAGGAGGAGGAGGGAGGAGGGAGGAGGAGGAGGGGGAGGAGGAAGAGGAAGGAGGGAGGGAGGAGCGAGACAGGAGGGGACAGGAAAGGCGTATCCAGGGACTGCAGTGGTCTGACAATCGCTGAATCCCAAAGACATCGTGTGAGTTACTTCCCAAAGAAGCCGTACAGTGCGTGGCTAGGGCAAACCGAGGGATACGTTCCAGAGGGCAGGAGCTCGGTGGGCCGATGCCGCTGTCCAATATTCCTCAACAGTCTCCGTCGTCCACTTCGACCGCGGACGCCCCGCGTCCCACCCGCGAAGCTCACGCACCTCCCTTGTGGGCCCGCAAAACGTGGCAAGCGTGCCATATTCTCGACACCACAGGGGGTGCGCACGGGGTGGTCCCTGACCGCGGCCGCTATCCGTGGCGGTCGTCCAAAGCACAGTAGGCGTGGCGTCTTCTCGACACCATAAACGGGTGCGCACGGGGTGGTCCCTGCGCGCGGCCGCTATCCGTGAACAAGCGTGGCGTTTTCTCGACACCACCCAGGGTGCGCACGGGGTGGTCCCTCAGCGTGGCCGCTATCCGTGACGGTTGTCCAGGGCACAGCAGGCGTGGCGTTTTCTCGACACCACAAGGGGTGCGCATGGGGTGGTCACTGACCGCGGCCGCTATCCGTGACGGTCGTCCAAGGCACAGCAGGCGTGGCGTCTTCTCGACACCACCCAAGGTGCGCACGGGGTGGTCCCTGCGCGCGGCCGCTATCCGTGACGGTCGTCCAGGGCACAGCAGGCGTGGTGTCTTCTCGACACCACAAAGGGTGCGCATGGGGTGGTCCCTGAACACGACCGCTATCCGTGACGGTCGTCCTTGCCCTAGCAGGCGTGGCATATTCTCGACACCACCCGGGGTGCGCACGGGGTGGTTACTGACCGCGGCCGCTATCCGTGACGGTCGTCCAAGGCACAGCAGGCGTGGCGTCTTCTCGACACCACAAGGGGTGCGCACGGGGTGGTCCCTGCGCGCGGCCGCTATCCGTGACGGTCGTCCAGGGCACAGCAGGCGTGGCGTCTTCTCCACAAGGGGTGCGCATGGGGTGGTCCCTGAACACGACCGCTATCCGTGACGGTCGTCCTTGCCCTAGCAGGCGTGGCATATTCTCGACACCACCCGGGGTGCGCACGGGGTGGTCACTGACCGCGGCCGCTATCCGTGACGGTCGTCCAAGGCACAGCAGGCGTGGCGTCTTCTCGACACCATAAACGGGTGCGCACGGGGTGGTCCCTGCGCGCGGCCGCTATCCGTGACGGTCGTCCAGGGCACAGCAGGCGTGGCGTCTTCTCGACACCACAAGGGGTGCGCATGGGGTGGTCCCTGAGCACGACCGCTATCCGTGACGGTCGTCCTTGCCCTAGCAGGCGTGGCATATTCTCGACACCACCCGGGGTGCGCACGGGGTGGTCACTGACCTCGGCCGCTATCCGTGACGGTCGTCCAAGGCACACAGCAGGCGTGGCGTCTTCTCGACACCACAAGGGGTACGCACGGGGTGGTCCCTGCGCGCGGCCGCTATCCGTGACGGTCGTCCAGGGCACAGCAAGCATGGCGTCTTCTCGACACCGCAAGGGGGCGCGCATGGAGGTGGTCCCTGAGGGCGGCCTCTATCCGTGACGGTGGTGCGCGGTGCTCAGGGCACATCGGTACGCAAGCTTGCTATCCGTGCCGGTCGTGCTCAGGGCACAGGGGGACGCAAGCGAGGTGAGTGGTATCATCACGAAGATTATTTGGCCACCTTGGCTCATGCCGGTTCAGACCGTTCGGGTTTGCACGCAGGCGTGCTCGCGCCGGTGAGTGTCTGTCAAGTTGAGAGGAGTGCGGAGGAGTTGCGAGGAGGAGAAGTTGAGAGGAGTGCGGAGGAGTTCAGAGGAGCGCGGAGGAGTTGAGAGGAGTGCGGGGGAGTTGGGAGGATTGGGTGGGACGAGGAGGAGGAGGAGGAGGAGGAGGACGACGACGACCACGAGTGCGGCGACGAGTACGGCGAGTACTACGAGTACAACGAGTACGACGACGACGAGTGCGACGGCGAGTACGACGACGAATGCGAAGACGAGTGCGACGGCGAGATACGACGATGAGATACGACGACGAATAACACGACAGAACGACGACGAGTACGACGACGAGTACGACGACGAGTACGACGACGAGTACGACGACGAGTACGATGACGAGTACGACGATTGCGACGACGAGTACGACAAGTACGACGACAACGAGTGGGACGACGACGACGAGTACGACGACGACGAGCGCGACGAGTACGACGACGACGAGTACGACGTAAAATACGACGACGAAGTAGGACGATTGTCAATAATCTCCTCATCATCGTTGCATCGGTGTTCGGTCTCGCCGGGGCCTTGCATCCTTTGTATCATATGTGTTTTTTTCCTGAACCTTCCACTATTCCCACCTTTTCCACCCTCGTCCCGCCCCTCCTCCCCGTGTCCTCCGCCTCCTCTAGATCGCTCAAGCCCACTGCGTCTCGAGCCCCCTTGTCATCCGCCTTCTCCCACTTGCAAACGAACGATCAAGAGCATGAACTTCTCTCTTACCGTTCATTCGATCTCGTCGTGTACGACCACAAGCTGCTCTTCATGATTGGGTTATGGCTCCCTGACTGGGACAGTCGGCGGCTCTACTATATGGCGCAGCTGGCTGGGTCCATTCGCAGCGTCTACCGGGAAATCAACGACGTGGCGCGCCAACCGTACATCCAGCGCGCTGCCATTCAACAACATATGCCGTTGTTCCGCCACCCCGCCCGCGGAGGCATCCCTGCGATAGCCCCGCCCGTGCCCGACGCTGTCCCCGGCGCAGCGCCCGATGCCGATCCAGAACGCGCGCCTCCTGTGACGAGGGCCCAAGCGCGAGTCACGGATAGTCGGTCATTAGGCTGGGCTTTGCGACAGGGGGCCACCGATGTGTTCAGGGAATTTTTATTGCGTTTTACGGCTATCGCGACGGCCTGTCCAGGCGATTTGTCATATGTTGCATTGGTTTGAGGCGCGGTCAGAAGCGTTCTGCCGAAGACAGCGTTCAGTTTTTTATTATCTCTTGGACCCTGCCATAGGCTTTTCGCCGAAGGTTGCATTCCTTCGCATTCTTTTTTCTCTCAGATCGCGTTCCATAGTGTTCGTTGCCTCGTGGGCGCCGCAGATCGCTTTCCATGTTTATTTATCAGAAACTTATCTTATATTCTATCCACTCTCCTCCCTCCTCTCCTCTTTACTGGCCAACGGTATCTGCGGGGCAACGGCCACCACTATCATTATCACATGCTTCACGTCATCTTTCAGTACTCCAGTCATGATATAAATATGTGGGGTTCCTCGGTAACGTAATTTGTTTTTGTTTGTGCTATATATATGTGTAAGAGAGAGAGAGAGAGAGAGAGCGTGATCCACCGCCGCTTTACTGTGGAAAATTGTCGCCCTTTTCCTCCGGAACCCGGGGTTCCCCCCCCCCCTCTGAAAATCCCCTCCCCCCTGCTGGACCCCCCCCCCCCCCCTCCCCCCCCCCCCCTTCCCCCGGCAAACCCTCCCCCCTCGCCTAACCCCCCCCCCCCCCCCCCTCGAACTCGAAAACCGGGGGGGGGTCACTACCGGTTCGAACCCCCCCCCCCTCGAAAACCGGAGGGGGGGGTCACTACCGGTTCGAACCACTGAGCTGTCCCACTGTTCCCACCACTGTCCCCACTGTCCCCACCACTGTCCCCACTGTACCTCTGTCCCATTGTCCCACCGCCGTCCTCGCCACCGCCTTCACCACTGTCCCCACCACCACTGTACCCTCCACTGTCCTACTGTTTCCACCACATTCCCACTGTCCCCACACCACTGTCCCCACCACCACCGTCCCCACCACTGTCCCACTGTCCCCACTGTTCCCACCATTGTCCTCACCATTGTCCCCACCACTACCGTCCCCACCACTGTCCCACTGTCCCCACCACTGTCCCGCTGTCCCCTCACCACTGTCCCCACCACCACCGTCCCCACCACTGTCCGCACCCCCCCTCGGTTTTCGAAGGGGGGGGGGGGGTTCGAACCGGTAGTGACCCCCCCCGGTTTTCGAGTTCGAGGGGGGGGGGCTCGAACCGGTAGTGACCCCCCCCTCTTTTCAGGATGAACTGGGGGGGGGAGGAGGGGTTCGAACCGGTAGTGACCCCCCCAGGTTTTCCGGAGAGGGGGGGGGGGGAGGGGTTCGAACCGGTAGTGCCCCCCCTCGGTTTTCCGCCAGCAGCGGTAGAACACGCTCTTTCATATATTATTATTATTATTACTATTATTATTAGTATTATTATTAGTATTATTATTATTATTGTTGTGATTATGATTATGATTATGATGATGATGATTATTATTATCTTCATCTGTATAACAAGGACACATCAGGCGTGCCGT